TACATATTTATATTAACCATGCAAAGCAATGGAGCCGCGTTTATTTTTGCACAAGCCGATGAGTGTGAGCGTGAATCGTGAGTGTGAGTGCGAGTGTGAATCGTGAGTGTGAGTGCGAGTGTGCGAGTTGTATCCATAGGATGCACATGTGATTTGCATGTGTTGTTCGTCACCAGCGTCAGAAACAACATTATCATTAACCAATTGCAATTACAATTATTAAAGCTGTTGTTGTTGTGGTTATTCATGACAATAATGACCACCATCATGATGATCACGATGAATATTGTTGCTGATATTCATAATGTTTGACTGCAATTTACTATTTACACTTCATTAAGCGGCGACAACTTTAAGTGAAATGTGTCCACATTGTTGAGTGCTTTGTGTGCCTCTATATATGTACAGTATCTGTATCTGTATCTGTATCTGTAGCTGTAGCTGTATCTGTATCTGTAGCTGTATCTGTATCTGTATCTGTATCTGTAGCTGTAACTGTATTTGTGTTTGTATCTCGCAGATACACTTTTATTTAGAGGTGTATATAGGCGAGTACGAATCCCATAATGCTAAAAGATCTTGCCCTGGAATTGCTAGTCGGGTCTTAAATTGAGAAAAGGTGGCCGCCTAATTGGGAAATAAGCTCTAGTGTGGGGATGCATTGAGACGTGGAAACGACTAGAAAACTAACACTTAACACTTAACAGCTCGAAAAAAGTTGAGAGCTGAACTCTGCCAAATGAGATAATAGTAGGTTAAACGGTGCGGAAACAAATTTTTCAGAGTCAAGGTAATTGATTCGGAGCGGTGCTAAAAGTGCTGACATAATTGTTTTAAACATGCTTTGTCGCTTATTTAGTAAATAACTATTTCGGAGTAGGCATTTTGTTTTCGGAGTAGACTTTGTTGTTATTGTTATTGTCGCAATTCCTAAATTGTCATCAATTATATTTTTTGAATACGCTTTGACATTTGTGTGAGTTAATTGCTTTTCGGTATAAGTATTTTCGGACTGCATATTTTTCGACCTACATTTTTCTGTCTGTAAAATCCGTAAGCTATTTTTGAAATTATGGTGTTTAGTCAACATATTGTATAATACGATGTTCTATTGTATTGTACGATAATATAACAACATTTTAAGATTCTCGGAGTTAACACTCCGAATAAATGAAAATGTAAAAATACGATGCAATTTCAGCGCTTATCTTAATTAATTGATCAAATGATATTTGTTAACTGAAATCCCATTACAATCTCATTAATTTCTTTCACTTCCCAGAGATATTTACTTAACGAACTGTGCGACATTATCGGAAGTTCTGGATTCGTTTCAAGAACCCAAAAGCAATTGCATATTTGTTTACATTTATGAAAAATGACGCAATACGCTTCAATTATCTTCTTGAAAATTAATGAGTGTCCGAAGCGGATATAAAAAAAAGGAAAAAATAATAAAATATATATGCTCATCTACGAGCGAGCAATGTTGATATCTTCAAGTATATTTCTTAATAGGCAACCAGCACGGAAATACTATCTAGATAGCCGTTAAAATTTTTAATTATAATTATAAGTAGACCAATAAAAAAAGAATAAAAAAAAAAGAAGAAAACAAAACCTTATTAAATCGGGGCAAATAGGCAGAGGAAAGAGACAAAAACGAAATCAATGCAAAAATCAATTGAGTTCGCGTCACGGCGATAACCTCCTTATAATATCAGCGCCGAGAACTGTCTGGCAGTTAAATATATATATATACACACACACACACACACGCATGCATATATATATAGAAGTACAGGGTGTATACCGGGTAAATATATTAAGCTATAGGTCGTGCTGTTTAGCCGGTCAGTCAGTTGCCTCAACTACTTGGCATGGGTTTTATTTTTTGTTTAGCTGTTTGTCTTTTGCATAATATCCGATTCATTTCAATGCTGGCGCGGCGCTTGAAAATCAAATTAAGTGCGAGTCCGAGTGCGTTTCAGCTGAAAATTGTTTTCGTCATGTCAGCGCTGCGCTCAAAAGGTGACACTACAGAACCAGCCCAGTCCCTGACTGGCCCCCGGGTCTGCTCCGTCAACATCTGGCCAGCCAGCTATAAATATTCAACAATTAAATGCTGGGCTATGTCTAGGGGCTTGAGCTTGAGCCCAGGCCCGGGCCCGGGCCACTTCAGATCGCTTGCGACTACGGCAGCGGATCTGGCTAGGTTTTATTTTCCAAGTTTTTTGTTTTGTTTTTGTTTTTGTTACTTTTTAAGTCGCTTGCGTTTGCTATTGCGCATATTTAACCCTTCGGGGTTAAGTTAAACATTGCGCTTACGTTTTATTTTGTTTTATTTTGCGCGCGTTTTTTTGCGATTTATTTTCCATGTTCTTTTTTTTTTTTTTTGTTCGTCCGGACAGCAACATTGCGAGCCGTCTTGTAAAACTTCAGCTGAGCAAGTATTTTTTTTATTTGTAATTATTGGATCGTAAAACAATTGCTTATATCACGACTAATCAGTGTTTTAATCTGCTCGCCAACAACACGTTCTTGCTAATCAATAAACAAATTATAAACATTTACAATGATTGCGCTCGTCTGGCTTATCAAGTTAATCAAGGCTATCTCGCTTCTATTTATAATTCTCCCCCCTAACATACTCATAAATTTTTCCAAGCACTATAGCCAATACAAAATATTCAAAAACGCAATTCGAGCACCTTTCAAATTTTTTGTTTTGGGCGTTTTGGGCCAGGCACGTGCCACGTGCAAGGCAACGATTAAGTAAAATTGCTGACCTGAACTTTTGAGCTAGTGACCTGCAAATTTCGGATTGATTAAAACTCGCTATGAATTGCGTTCTACCCAAAACATCGTTAAGTATGTCTATGGGAGTTTTAACTAAACATAGACGTTTACTCGATTTCGGAGTTCTATTTCAAGAGTATGATCGACCATATTTTAAGGTTAAGGTTTTTAAGAATTGTATCTTACTTTCTTATGTAGACAATTTTTCAATTAATTAACTTACTTCTTACGATTCGGACGAAGTTTGCAGTAATTTTGGACTTATTTTTTTCTTTTGAAATTTCAAATGCATTATAATATATTACCATTTGATAAAATTTTACATTTTGTGATAGTAAAATTATGTTTTCACGAACATTCAACGATTAATTCTAAGTCATTGACTAAAAAATCCGTTTCAAAGTAAGATAATTAATGCCGTAACTATACTAAGTAATTTTCGGAGTCGTTTCGCTTTATCACATATGCAAGTAAATATTGTATCCCTACAATAATTAATTAGTTTTACAATGATTTTCGCAAGTAGACCGAATCTATTTCGAATGATTTAGGATCATGGTTCAGATAGGATTAAAATTTATGATATTGATCAATTGATTGGTTATCAAATTGTGCCTAATGGGACGTTTTAGTTATAATGGTGCTCAAAAGTTAATGTCTAATAGCCATTATTTGATATTTTTATATTTCACTCACCGTGCTCATTTAGCTCCTGTTCCATTTGCTCCACTTTGTTAATCTCCATTAGCTGCTGTCCATCGGTAATTGTCAGATCTTGTGGGTGCTTCATAATTCTTATCGAATACGATTTACAATCATGTGCGAGTCATGCTTAGCAACTGTAAACGAACCAAATGATAAGTGGTCAATATATTTGAGGTAAATCAACACGAAAGCTGTAATACAGCTAGTCAAACTAGTCTATCAATATTCTATATATGTGAGTGCGTATTAAAGTTTTAATGGGTTTCCGAACACACGATAAGCCATCAATATCGTCCATATAATTTTTATATAAATAAAAAGAACAACAAGTTGGTTCTGCTTACATGACAGTCCCCCTGGGCGAAAATGGGGTGGGGGCAATTTTATGATTCTGCTGATATTTTTATATATATATATATATATTATCACCCACCTGCCTGGCAAAGGCGCTATCTGTAGCTCTAGTTGGCCAGTTTACGGGCTACTCATAAACCAAAACAACTCTATGACACACTCCATGCGGCGAGCTATTGCTGACTCGTAGCGCCGAAATAAATAAAGTACATATACAAATATATTGAAATAATAATCGTTTCAAGCCCGTCCAGATAAATGCCCAAAAAGCGACTACGAGACTCCACCGAAAGAGCTCTCCTTATGTCTCTATCGGTGGCAATGCGTCAAAAAACACAAAACACAAATAGAAAAGAGAACAACAAAATTCGCGTTCACTGATAAGGCGGGAAAACAGGGAATTTGTGATTGTTATCGAACGTTTATTATTTCTTTGCAATAAATGTTCGATAAGCCAATGGCAGCTAAATACGTGGTCCTAAATATCAAATCGAGGCAACTTCAACCCGACCCTAATCACAATAATAGGTTTCGGATCGTGCCCGAAACGTGACTCGCTTTCGCGCGGCTTTAAATGTATTTAATAGGGATATCGGAAATTAGGGATACGACTGTTAAATGGGAAGGAAAAATGCATAAATATAATGCCGTCAGGATAGAATATGATAGTAAGGGGAACAAAAGGGGGTTGCAATAAGGAAGATAGGAAAGGAAAGTATAGGTATTACATGATACTATTCTAGGTTTCTTATTCTAGCCATATTCGTTACCTACTCTTTCACTATGCTTCTGTATTCCAGAATGCAATATAATGGAGTTAGTATTAGGATAGCCTTAGATCATATATTGTATGATTAGTGATACAGGACACGTCCTTTATATTGCAAGTTCATAAAGTTATTTTTAAGTTTTGAACTCAATTCAGAATGTACTTTTTAGTCTCAAGGATTTTAGAAGATATTATATTCTTACATAATTATTATTACTTGAAAAATACGTATTTCTTATTCCAAATTTCTTAAAACTATACTTTATATATGTATATATATGCTATTTTATTAAAACCAAAATCTATATTAAAAATGCATTTATATATTATTTAGTTGCCTGAAGGAAAAGCACTTTAATTTAATTTTAAATTTAATATTTTTTCAAAACACTTTCTAAGGAATACTTTAAAATTTGCATATATTATTATCATGCATTATAATATTCGAAATCCACAACAATCAGAGACCCTTTCCGACCTTTCCCCGACTAGAACTTCGAAATTTTGGCCGTATTCAAAGCCTCAGTCATGAGTCGGCCGAAGTCGGCATGGACCATGGTGAAGAGTTTAACGGCGCGTTCCTGCAGGAATTGACTGGCATCCGATAGATGTTCCGATATATTGCGCACGAGTCGCTTGCGTCCACAATTGTCCAGGGTGTAGGTCCAGAAGTCGGTGACCTGACTGAAATTATCCTCCGTATCGCCGCTCATATAGCGATAGACATCGCCCGAAACGGGACAACAGGTCTGCAGAGCGAGAGCCCGAGAGCTCTCCTTGGGTCCGCAGAAGGAGTTGGGAAAGTAATTTGGTGCTCCATCCTGATTATCGTTGACAGTCATGGCGCCATCACGCTGGAAGTTCTTGACATTCACGCGATAAGGACAATTGACAGGGATCTGCATGTAGTTGGTGCCAAGGCGATAGCGCTGGGAGTCGCCGTAGGCGAAGAGGCGACCCTGGAGCATTTTATCTGGCGAGGGCTCGATGCCGGGCACCATGTGTGCCGGGCTGAAGGCCAGCTGTTCGATTTCCGTAAAGTAGTTGGTGGGATTGCGATCCAAGACCAGTCTGCCCACGGGCAACAGTGGGAATTCCTTTTGGGGCCACACCTTGGTCACATCGAAGGGATTGAATTTGCTCTTCTTGGCCTCCTCGTTGAGCATGACCTGAATGAACAAGCTCCAGCTGGGATAGTTGCCCTTCTTGATGGCGTTATACAGATCGCGTATAGCATAGTCCGGATCATGTGCGGCCAGCTCCGAGCAGCGGCGTGTATCCAAGTTCTTAATGCCCTGATCCGTCTTCATGTGAAACTTCACATAGAACGTCTCCCCGCTGGGATTGACCATGCGATACGTATGCGCGCCATAGCCATGCATATGCCTATAGCCATCCGGAGTGCCGCGATCACTGAAGTACATGAGCAGCGAGTGCAGCGTCTCCGCGCGGAGCGACATGAAGTCCCAGAACATGTCAGGATCCCGCAGATGCGTCTGCGGATTGCGCTTCTGGGCGTGTATCAAGCTCGGGAAAAGTGAAGGATCACGAATATAGTATACGGGCATATTGCAGCCCACCAAATCCCAGATGCCATCCTCCGTATAGAATTTGACAGCGAAGCCCCGCTGCTCCCGCACCGTATCCGCCGAGCCACTCTCGCCGCAGGCGACCGAGAATCTCATGGCAACAGCTGTGCGCTTCTTGACCTTATCGAAAACAGAAGCCGCACAGAATTTGCTTATGTCGTGGGTGCACTCGAAATATCCAAAGGCTCCAGCGCCCTTTGCATAGGTAACCCGTTCGGGTATGCGTTCCGCATCGAAGTGCGAGATCTCGTCCAGATAAATGAAATCCTGCAGCAGTGCAGGCCCGCGCGGTCCCACCGTCTGTATGGCGTCCTTGACCCCAATCGGAGCACCTCCCGAACTGGTGCATTCCGTTGGGGCCGCCGCATCGTTGTTCTTGTAGTCAATTAGCTGGTTGGAGGCCGGATCACGTGAACACATTTCTAATTTCGTTAAATCGAATGGTTTATATATATATATAGATATAGATATATGAAGAGTGAGAGTTTGCAAACTATTTCCAATTCGTGTTAACTTATGAAATTTTCAAAAATATCTGTCGATTTTTAAATATAAGCTCAACGATTTGCAAACATGAGTTTTGAAGTGAATCTCAATGTTGTTTCAAGTTGAACTAAGCTAAGTTAACTTTCGAAAAGTATTTGAAAACCATTTAAAAAGAGGAAATGATTCGGAGTAAATATATGTAACGTTTCTATGAGTTCGATAAGAATCGGGTTCGTTCCCCGACACAAAATTAAAATGCATTAAATTAATAAAAAATGTCAATACAGTAAACAATACAGTACAACACATGTACATATTTGTATTATTAAAAAAAAAAACAATAATTATAAATTCGCAATTAAAACAGTTATTTCTCATAAACTTCAACGTCTGGAAATAGGAAATTTACAGAAAAAACTATTGCGTTTTTAAAAAACGAACTAAAAAATTATATTTTTTTCTTGAAAAAGAATACTTTATAATTTCTTAAAGTTTCCTAATGGAAAACAGTTTTCCAGAAAATATATTCCAAGTATAATTAGTATCTAAAAGTAACTCTACATTAACCCATGCGCTAGAAGTTCTTTTCATAAATCGGAAAAAATGGTCAATTTAAATATTTCAGCGACCTGGACCTTTGCATAGAATAACTCCTTAAATTATAGAGGGATTGATTTAAAAATTGGTTTTACTTAATAATACTGCAGCAAAAACCTTTTATTATTCGTGAAAAATGATTAAGTAACTCTGAACAACTCTCATCTAAAAATATAAAACAAAATACCTCAAACATATTTTTTTTTTTCTATTTTCTTTTCAATTAGGGAAATACAGGGAAATTCCCGCATTGAAAACATTCGCTTAGATATTAAAAAATATATATTTTGCATGTGCAAGGCACAGAAATAGGCTCTACCCTAACGTAATAACTATCTCATTTAGTACAGCTATTTGTTAATGCGGTTTTTCTATTGGCAAGATTTTGCCGCATGCAAAGCTTTAAATGGGAATCGGCCTGTTTGCACGCGACACACGTGTCCATGGTTGAATGGCAGTCAATATACTAAGCAAGACTAAAAGCTTAAATAACTAGAATGTTAAGCAAATGGGCAAAAATGGCATACATATAGATAAATACGCTAGTGTATGTGTGCATGTGTGTGCATGTGTGCGGTTACAGACAGTTACAGACACACACACACACACACACACACACATGCACATGACATATGGAAACTTACTTGAAAGCTCGCCGTTGGAAGTAACAGTTGTTGTTGCTGTTGCTGTTATTTGCTGCAGTTAGTTTTGTTTTTGCTGTTGCTTTTGGTTTTTATCAGGCGCACTTTTGCTGCCGCTGCCGCTGCCGCTGCCACTGCTGCTGCTGTTATGGCTGTTGACTCTAGTTGACCGCATGAATGAAAGCGAAGCAGAGCAGACGCACGAGCAGAGCGTCACACACTTGTTGATTTCCTTCCTATTTGTGCTTTTTTCATGGTTCGTCTTTATAATTGAAAGTTGTTGCTGACCTTTTTTGTTTTTTTTTTTTTTGGTTTTTGGCACTCAAATTGTATTTTACACGCTCGCTCACCCCTATTTCTTATTGCTGTTTCTTTGTTTTGCTTTGGTTTTTTTTTCTTATAATTATTTTTTTTTTATTATTATTGCACTTAAGCGGCTTTCGGTCGCATAATTGCCAGCCTTACTGTTGTTGTTTTGATATTCATTGTGTATATGTGTGTGTGTGTGTTGTGTATTGATGCTGCGCGCCAATTAAAGACGTAACGGCGAACACTTGCACATTAAAGTGATTTTTTTTCAGTTGCGACTCTGTCGCTGCATATTCATTTATATCAATCAAAAACGCTATGTATTTGTTATTGTTTTTGTTTTTGCTCGTTCTCAGTGCGACGTCGTCACTTGAACTCAACTAAGGCTTCTGTCTGCAACGGTCGCCAGCGACGACAGCAACAAGTCCCATCGAAGAGAGAGAGAGAGAGAGCGGCATGCAGTTATCACTTGGTCGCTCGCTCTGCCTCTCTTTCTTTGGCACGCTCACATCAACACACTTGCACACAGCTCCTATGCTCACACACACATGCGCCCAGCAGAAACGCCGCTGTCGCTGTTACGTATTTGTTTTTGCAAAAATCAAACAATATACATATGTACATTTATTTTTGTTCACTTTCTTGTTAAAAAACACGTCAGAATTGCAAAAAACGCGCGTGCTTGATTTTTTTAAAGCCAATATTTTACACACTTTGCATTATTTAAGCGGGGGCCCGCCGCTGGCAGTGGGTTGACTGAACCCACTCACACTCACACACACACTTGGGTCTACTGGGCTAGACGGGGCACAATACGTACCAGAAACGAATGCGAGCAATGGGCGACTGAAATCAAAGTGGCAAAATTGAACGACAGCGCGAATCGGTTGTAGAATGAGGGAATGCCAAGAACGCAGCAACTGTCAGGCAGGCGAAACCAGATTTGAAGGGAATCTCAAACGCTTTATAAAATTGCCGTTTTTATATTTTTTACCATGTGCGTTTTAAAAGAAGCTACGCAAAAATAGCAACAAAGCACAATTTAACAATATTTGTGCAGAGAGTAAGATAGTGGCGTTCGCTCTCTCCCTCTCTCTCTCTCTCTCTCTCTCTCACACACATATGTTGTGTACAACTCGCGAGTGTGTGTGTTTGGGTCACTTGTCACGTCTCATAGTGCGCCACACTGTGGGCGGTTGATCGAAAGTGAGCGTTGCCAGCTGTTCAAAAAATGCCCAAACAAAATATCGATATAACAGCAATCGATATCAGCATGTGACCGTACAGTGCTGCTGCAACTGTAATTTACAAGTGCTTGATCGGATGCTCGGGCTGCCAACTAGTTGGTGAACGGCCAATTGGCGCTTGGTGTATAATCTGGCAGCGCCGAACAGTGCTGTTAAACATTTCCATGTGTTAAAATGCCTTATAACTTTTTAATTGATATCAAAGTGAATATTCTAAGATATGTATGTATATAAAAGGGATTTACATTTATGTTAGAAAACTTGTTTATTGAGATATTTTTGCCTGCGAACTGGGTACAGTGGGCCACTAAATTATTATGTATTTTAAGTATGTGTACATGGTTTTATTCTCACTAAATATAAAATATATTTGAATTCTTTACTTACATTTAACACGCTTCTCATACGAATATTTATATTTATAATATTTACAGTTGTTCAATTTAGCACATCAACGTGTACAATTATGGTATGTTAAATAAATAATAAATTAGCATAAAGCATAATGCTTTCCGTTGTTGGTTTGAAATGCGCTTCCTGGGCAACGACATATTTCATTTACACTTTTACAATAATTATGGTATATTACGTATTTGTAGATATTATTTTAAATAAAGCATAGTGGGAACAGTAATGCGTAGCAAAGTTTAGTACAGTTTGCATAGCATAGAATTTGGATTAGACTTAAATACAATTAAGACACACTTGTTAAGTAAATTTTGTTTAAAGTTAAGACGTTAAAAAAAAAAACAAATATATAAATTGCACTAAGTATTAGATTTAGCTTAGAATTGTCACGGGCTGCAACTGAAACAGGTACGAATTTAGCAGCGCTCGCGATTGTTATACGCCTGCACCTTGGCCACGGTGCACTCGAGCGCCGCCTGGATGTCATTGAATACGGGCACACCCTGCCGCTTGGCCAGATCGATGAGATACGAGCGTCCCCGGTTGTAGTCCTTGATAGCCGCCACCGTTAGCTGCAAGCATTCCAAGTCAATTCTTAATCAGGTCTTTCAAACATATCGGCAATATATATATATTTATAGATATATGAGGCAGGACTAAGGACTAAGGACGGGATAACATAACTTAATTTTATTACAAATACTAAACTAATATTTTTTTGGTTACTATTTACAGCTAATCTGAGCAAATTAATATATATATATTTCATGTTTATTCAATTTGTCTATAATTTTTCTCCTAGCTTTTCTTTTTTGTGGCCTAAAATTGTTTACCTTATACTAATTTGAATTATTATCAAATATTATATTATAATTTTGTATCTTAATATCAGCTAAATCCAAGTGAATTAATAAAGAAATATACGAAAAACACAGAACGCATGGAAACATCTATATTGTTGATTTAAGGAAACAATAATTTGGAATGAATTTATCGGCACCCCGACAATCAAATACCCCTGCAAGGCCTAAGGCAGTTGGTATTAAGAAGATTCTGCTCCCAGTTGGAATAAAGCGAAGCCTATAAATACGAGGATATCTAGAAAGCCACAGTTTTCAATACAAAAGCCCATGCATATGCTCGAATATAATATCAGAAATATCACTATCGGATGGCCGACTTCCATGTGCACTTTTTGGCAAGCTTTATCAAGATGGCCATAAAACTGGTTGGCTACTTTCCATGGAAAATAAATAATCCAATCACTATTCGCTTTATCTGATTAATATTGCTAAAGAATTTGGAGTCAAGGACTACTTAAATTAAATATCTAACTTAAAGATAAAGAAAATTTTTTTTAGAAAGTACAATAATAAACTTTGCATTAATTAATATATATTATGTTTACGAAATTCCTATCTTTAAGCTCAAACAAGTGCTATTTAAATTCTTTCGAAGGAAAAATTAAAATTTGTCTCAGGTTTTGGTCACAAAGAGAATTTCCCTTATATTCAAGATAATTTTCGTGTTCTCCTACCTTTTCACCGCCCAGCACACAGTCCTCGGGCAGCATTTGTACGGCCAGTACCACGTTGTACATAAGTCCGATGCAGTGCGCCGCGAGGGTCATCGGGGCCAGGGAGCGCGTCTCGTTGGTGATGACAAAGAGCAGTACGCGGCTGGAATCCAACAGAGCCGGATTGTAGAGACTCTGGCGCACGGCCATGGGCGGCAGGGACCAGCTGAGCGATTCCTCGGCAACGGTGAGCTCCTCCTGTTCCTCCAGCTGCAGCTGATTGCCGCGACACTTTCGGCGCGTGCGCACAAACGAGCGCTGCTGCTGCTGT